CACATGTACGTCGTTTGCATGTCAAGTTGTGACTAAAGCGATTAGGGTCGTAGACCACAATTTAGGCGGATCTCTTTTGTGAGGCTAGTGCCGTATCTACCCTTTTTGTTTTAATCTAAGCCGGTACCCCTACGCCCATGTGGGAGCGTCATTTCACCGGGACGCCCCCGGGCCTGCCCGGCCCAACGAGTGGACCGGGCGACACGCCTCTGGGGGATTGCGCTAGGCTACTAGGCAGTCCTCAGATGGGGTGGCCTATGCCGAATGGCACATAGGGCACGCGGTGGCCAAGTCGCCAACGATATTAAATACCCTATATACACCAACACGAACAGAATCATGCCCGAAACCTGTTATTCCAGTCGGAATAAACATGAGACCTATTCTAAGACACCAGCGCTTAGACAATTTTTTCCTAGATAGTATAGACCCCCACGAATATGCCCTCCATTTGTCCCCGCTAGAACCCGTGTTTTGTAGCCAGGAAAATTGTTTAAACAAAGAAAAACCGGTTTTTTTGATTTTTTTTGCTTGTAAGCGGGGATTTTGAAATTTTTTTTGAATCAAAGTTGTTCATTAGCTTGCCCTTTACAAAATCAGTTCTATGAAAAAATAACGTGAGATTGTTAGTTTAGCAGTAAATTGCAATTATGTCGGTTTTACGTTTGCAGCAATTCAACATGTTATAATAAACATTTTGATTTCTAAAGTAGTTTATCATGTGGGTAACGCCACTCCCAAGAGAGTCATGTAAAATTTATCGACCTGTGTCGCAAACTTTAGCAACAATTCTCAATCTCCGAAAAAAAAGTACTTGCCTGTCCCGTCTTTCCCAGAAGGCGCACAGCGGGGAAAAAATTCAGGTGATTCGATTCACCAAGAATTTTGAGGAATCGATCGAGTAGAAAAAAATCGTTACTAAAAATGTTCGTTTTTGGACGATTTAATTTTTTTTAAAAATTGACGTAGAATATTTTTTTTTTAAACTAATGTATTTTTCTCTCCGCAACTCGAATATACGATTGAAAATTTAAAAAATTCAGTTTATTTATGTACAGAAATTATTTACAAAACTATTAACTAAAATTCGATTACAAGACTGCGTTGTATTCTATATTTCTAATTAAATTAATTTCGTCCTTTTTTCTTCCGGTTCATAATCGGAATTCTCAGGGTATATTAGTATTATATATATATTCAGAATAGTATATTCGAGTTGAGGAGAGAAAAACACATTAGTTTAAAAAAAAAATATTCTACGTCAATTTTTAAAAAAAATTTAAATCGTCCAAAAACGAACATTTTTATTAACGATTTTTTTCTACTCGATCGATTCCTCAAAATTCTTGGTGAATCGAATCACCTGAATTTTTTTTCCCGCTGTGCGCCTTCTGGGAAAGACGGGACAGGCAAGTACTTTTTTTACGGAGATTGAGAATTGTTGCTAAAGTTCGAGCGACACAGGTCGATAAATTTTACATGACTCTCTTGGGAGTGGCGTTACCCACATGATAAACTACTTTAGAAATCAAAATGTTTATTATAACATGTTGAATTGTTGCAAACGTAAAACCGACATAATTGCAATTTACTGCTAAACTAACAATCTCACGTTATTTTTTCATAGAACTGATTTTGTAGAGGGCAAGCTAATGAACAACTTTGATTCACAAAAAATTTCAAAATCCCCGTTTACAAGCAAAAAAACTCAAAAAAACCGTTTTTCTTTGTTTAAACAATTTTCCTGGCTACAAAACACGGGTTCTAGCGGGGACAAATGGAGGGCATATTCGTGGGGGTCTATACTACCTAGGAAAAAATTGTCTAAGCGCTGGTGTCTTAGAATAGAAGTCGGTCCAAATTATGGCTATTCCGACTGGACTATGTCAAAAAGGTACATTGGACAATCCACGGAGCTCCGTAAGATGATCGCGTAGTCTAAACAATATGAGGCAATTATTTAAACATTGAAAATCACCTTTAAAGCACACTGTATAAGGTCTTAATTAAAACGCATGCGTCAAAGAGTTATGACAGTCCGAAATGTAAGTTCGTAAAATTTTACGACTTATTGCTATATGCGGAAGAATATATACCTTATAAGTTTGAATGCGCTGTTAGCAATATAGCAGGTACGGACCGTGAGGAATAGAGACGGCTATATTACCGCTCATGCATTTGAATATCACAAATATTTTCTATTAAAGCAGTTCAAAGTAAGTATTAAAACAAAATTTGTTTTAAATGCGTTAAATTAACAAACATTGATTAGATACCTGTTGAAAAAACGTTATTTTACATACTATAAGTATTTATTGCGCATTTTTTTCACGGAGCTCAGCGGCATGTTGACTTTTCAACGGTCCGCGCGTGACTGTGAACCAACAACTGCTTGAGTCGTTTACAAGCACTTCTTTATAGGGACACATTTTGAGTGCACGTAGTGTATCTAGGATATTTAAAATCGTTGCAAGCCGCGTCCAGACCACCTTAGGGCAGTCACGGCTGGCTGCCTTCTTCGGCCCACCCGTTTACGTCGGAGGGGAGTGGCTAGAGCGTCCTCCTCCCGCTCCCTCTTCGCGACGCCCAAGGTGACTACCACACTTAGAGATACCGACTTGTTGTCCATCAAATATAGTAGAACCGATTATCCGAATTAATTGGGACCGGGGTCGATTCGGATAATCGGACATAGACTGGTAATAAAAAAAAATCTTTCGATTTAAACATACATCTAGCAAATAGTTTTAACGGGTTAATGCACGAACTTTATTTATTTATTGACGTTTTGTTTATATCGACGTTTTATTTATAAATAAATGAACCCTTTAAAAACTAGTTTTATTTAATGAGTGATGTGCGTGAAAACCTAAGAAACAATTAAACTTCTAGCAGTTAAATTCTTAAACAAAATTTATAATTGAAATGTCTTCTTTTCCCACATCGCAGGTGTCTCGCAAATCGCACCCGCACCCCCCCTCAGTGCTGGCGCTCTGCAAGAAGTTCCAGCCCGACTACGAGAAGCCCGCCACCATACCCCACGCCCACGCCCACGCCCACGCCCACGCCCACGCGCTGCGCCCGCCCACCGACCGCGCCGTGCTCTGCTAGCCCACGCGGCCCAGCGCTGGGCCACACCATACGCGAGCGCGACACTGACGCGATCCACTCAAACATTCAACGAGATACGTGAAACAACGCTAACAACGCTACAAGACAGGCTAAAATTCAGTCAAACAAAATAATAATATTAATAAATAAAACGAAATTCAGTTTAAATAATGCAACAGTAAAAAGAAAGCCGTATAACAAAATGACATTAAATATTGTAGCGATCAACCCAAACACGAGATAAGAGAGAGGTGAAATAAAATAAAATTAGTTCAAATAATGCAACAAGACGAGTTAAAAAGCAGTGAAACAAAATAATACCTCATTGATATCAAGAATTAATATAAATAGTGTAACGAGTGTTAGTGAAGTGAAGTGAAACGAAACGAGAATTACTGCAGCGAGAAAAATATGAAGATGAATGCAGAGAAATCCCATTTGGTTACTATGGAGTTTAAAACTGACGGTTATGTCTAACTGGTTAGACAAAGGTACTGAAAGTTAAAATACCTTTTTGATAAAAAAATTGTGAGATTTGCAAATTTTCATAATATTTTACTTAATGTTGATCGTAGTCAGTGTGTAGATTTTTATAAAATCCATAGGATTACATTAACTAATTGTATACAAATATGTTTGTAATGAATTGAGATGTGTTGCATATATGAAATGCATAAAACAATTGCGCTCTTTAATGCTACATTAGGAATTGCTTTTTATTGATTAATGTAACTTTGCAATAGTTGAATCTGATCACCTTTTCCTCTCTACGCATTTGTTTCATAGAAATATTGCTAACTGTGTTGAAGAAATGCGTGCCATAGAGACGTTATTGCTCCAATAAGCAATTTTTTTTAAAACAAGTAGTGAGGAAAGGTGTGATCTTGATTTGACTATAAAAAAAGATAAATATACCCTCTTATGGCAAGGATATCTCTTTATGTATAATGTGCAAAATGATTATATATGGTAACATTATTTTGTTTGAGTGTATCGCTTTCATTTGCATCGCGTCAATGGCCAAGAGTAAAGCCCTGTACATACCACTAGATAAGTTATGTTATCCCCGCCACGCACCTGAAACTAATTCCAATAACATTTGGAAATTATGTAATTCTATTTTTATTAAGAACATAGTATTAAAAGTCTTATGAACTAACGCAAGAATATCGTTAATATAAGGTGGCTTAAAATATCACAACACTTAAAATATTTAAGCCGAACCAATAAAGAGTACAAACGGGTGAGAATGCCTGTATTTTTTTACACTAAGCCTTATTGTTCACAAATGTTATGGTATGGTAGTTTCGTGCTCTAGCGGTGGGTGACTTGTGTATATTTGTTGGGCGGAGGCCCTTGTACATAGCCTTGTACCTTCCCTGCCCGCGTCCCCCGCCAGGTGGAGACCCCGGCGGGGTAATAAACTCCCAACGAGGAGTGGGAAGGACGCCGCTTCGTCGCGACCGCGGTCGGAACGAGATATTATATTCGCCGGCTCTTCTCGTGATTCGCTCTGACAACTCTACTTAATCAACATCACGAATATACTTATTTTTATCTCTGCCAACCTCCCTCCCCCCTCCCCCCCCTTCTCATCCTTAATGTATTTGTTGATGTCCTAAAGCAGGGGTTCCCAACGTTTTATTGGTCAGGGACCACTTTTACATATTTTTTGGCGCGGACCAATATTTAGTCACGAAATTTTAGTGTAATAAAAATAAACTGTAATAATCAAACTGAAACTTTAATTAAAAATCTAATGCGAAATTAAATAAGAAGAAATAATAACATTTTTAGCGGGCGCGCCCGCTAAATTCAAATTCATTCGCGGACCATATTTTGGCTTCTGCGGACCACTGGTGGTCCACGGACCACTGGTTGGGAACCATTGTCCTAAAGCATACATCACATCAGTCGGACTAAGCTAGGCTGAGTATAGAAGTTAGTGGATCCCAGGTCCTACTTTTTGCGAGTCGCTCCGTCTGTCTCCTTCTACCGCACAGAAGCAGTTGAATATTAAAAACGAGATATTTACCCTACACTGAATTTCAGTAAACGAAAGTTTTGAATAGATTCGAAATGCTTTTGAAATTGCATGGAATATTTTTTTAAACGTTTGTGGCGTAATGGGAGAGTCCTCCGATATTGCGCAGAAAACGCTTAAAAATATTTTAGCTTTACGATACCATTCCAACTTTTGATTACGAACAGTCTGAATAGTTCGCTCGTTTATATCGGCACTTCTATGTTTATAGAAAGGGATGGAGCGCCATATTGTCAAAGGGGGATTTGGGCATTCGCCTATGTTTCTAAAATGTTTTGGTGCGATGCAGGAGCGAAGCTCGAGCAGGGGAGCCGGCTTTAGTGTTAAGTGTTTAGATGATTCTAACAGAGACATGTACGTTAGTTAGGTAGTAGCGGCTCGACCGCCGCGTCACCCGAATGTCTGGGACCAAAATTTGCATAGTGACCGCCGATTTGTTGAGTTTCGGCGGCAGTTGTTGTCGCGGTTGATATTGTACAATATATTGAAATTTTATCACTAGGAGTGACCGTTTTTCGGGTTGTTGTTAGATAGGGGTATTGTTAACGTAGCGAACTTGTCGGATCATGAGCTCAAATCTTGTGACTTAATTTTTTTTGTAAATCTATCTAATGAAATCGTCGTGTGCCTTGCGCAAATGTCTACTTTATTCATCCCACATTCTGAATGTCGCTTCATTTTACTTTGTAAATGTCTTTTATTTTTTCATTCATGAGAAGAATCAATTTTAACCACATCTCAACTTAACTCGAAGATTTATACCTTGTGAGAACTGTTGTGATTCGTGAAAATAAATTATTGTGATATAAAATTCTACTTTTTATTTATGTTGTCCGTTTACACCACTATTTTCTAATTCTCTAAAAATCACATTTATTCATAGAGATGCATACCAACTAAACCTGAAAACTGAAAGAAGAGAGATATATTTTGATATTTCCTTGAAATGAAAATTGAAAAATCAAGCCTCAGGCCTGTACTCATAATGGAAGTGAGATGCCGCTCTACTATACAAAAAGTCAATAGGAAAGAATTTCCTTACGGTAATAATACAGTACCCCTAGCACGAACCATTATCGAGTTCGAATAGTTTGCAAACCGAAATGTCAATGTCAAATTTTGTATGGGAACTTGAACAGCAGCGGCACAAAGTACGTAACGAGAACTAAAAATCAGTACACATTTGACAATGACATTTCGGACTTCAAACTATTCGAATTCGATATTGGTTCGTGCTAAGGGTACTGTTCAAAAGGCCCAAGCACGAATTCGTGGCAGCTCCTGTATCGCATCTAAGTTTCTAGGTAAACTAAACAGCGCCCATATCGAACGTAAGAACAAACTAGCTTTTTCCATACAAAATTTGACGATTACGATACTCTACGGAGCTGCCAAAAACTCGTGCTTTGGGCCTCCGTCGGTTATCCTTTACGAAGAGGACGTGTAGATGTAATAGCACCATTTTTATTATAGAAAACTATTGATATGGGGCATTGTGAAGAATATACACTTTCAGACACATCTATAGGCCCGTTTAGTGTCATAAGTTTCAACAGTCTGCAGCAAAAACATTGCATTAAGTTACATTAAGCAATAATTGTATTTTTAAAAACGTATGAAAAATATGGTTATTTTAGCTTCAAAACTGTGTAAAACTTTTTGCTAAATTTACATTTATTTTAAGCTAGGGACCGTCAAATCTACTAGGGTCAAAACTTAAAATGCTAGGTGGGCCAATAGAAGTGTGGGAGTATATTTTTATAAAAACAGCACTAAAAATCTGAATACAAAGGTAGTTTGGAAATAAAGAAAAAAACAAAAGTTGTTCAGTTCAAAAGCATCTTTACTGTAACGAATTTTAAGATCCATAATATACTGTTCAATCTGCATATTAAGGCATTACAATTATTTCATGTAGTAGCATTTTCCTAGTTGTTAATTTGAAAATACAATTTCATGTTGTTAAAAATAATTAGGCGGACATGTGTTTCATTGATACAAATGAAAATAATGTTCAATGATAGTTATACAAATGACCTAACAAATTCATGTTATAAAAGTTTGACTAGATTTTTAGAAAAATCTCACAATTCACAATGTTCATGCCTTTCGCAAAGATAATACTAAAATCACAGTCCGATAATATTTACAATTTATCGTATTTTTTCGGTCGCAATACACACTAAAAACGGGTTTGACACATACAAATACCTAATAAAAGCAGTAGAGTCTGTGCGGAAAAAGAATGAGATTTAGATTGGAGGGCACTGTAGTGCTTTTCAACAACAAACAAATCCGTATTAATACAAAACTTAACGTTTTACAGATTGCTGGGTTTGATTGCCAAATAAAAATATTAATGTTAGTTCCGTTTTTCGCCACGCCCATACTCTTTCCGCATAGACTAAATAATAATCCTTCTGAATGCTGTTTGCAGAGTGTTACCAACGAATATACCTTCGACGCTATTAGAAATGAATCGTTTATTAAGTAAAAACAACACACCATGTTACCACAAACTGTCAAAAATTCTCCACGAATTGTGTGTCTTATATATATTGAAATAAAACTCAAAGTTACTACGAGATTTGACAATTTTGGAAAACTTGATCCGTGGCTGTCGGTACACAAACTTATAATTAGAGCATTACAATTTGATGGAATAACACTTGCAGCAATTTTGCTAAATCTAGTTTTAGATTCAACAAATTTGTTTCAAGTCGACCTAAGTTAATACCTTACTTACTCTTACATCGAGGTCGAGATGCTATTTTACATATGTTTTAGTCAAGATATCTGGTTAATTACAAACGTACACAAAGTTGCAGAAAACGTATAGAAATATATAATATACTAGCAGTCCCAACGAGCTTCGTACCGCCATAAAAAAAAGGGGTTGGTGGTAGAAGGGTGAAATTTTAGGGTTGTATGTATTTTTGTATGATGTAGCATACAAAAAAATTGTCCAAAAAAAATAAATTTAACGGTGGACCACCCTTAACATTTAGGGGGATGACAAATAGATGTAGTTCCATTCTCAGACCTACTGAATATGCATATAAAATTTCACGAAAATTGTTCGAGCCGTTTCGGAGTAGTTCAATTACGCAAACCGTGACACGAGAATTTTATATATTAGAGATATAATAATGTTAGATTTTCAGAAACTATGTAAAGTTCAGTTACTTTGTTTTCCGGGATTAAAATTATCCCATGTCTAATTCAAGTAATAAACCGTGTTGGTCAATTTTATCGGGAGCGAATATCTGAAGTGATCATGTGTTGCCTTAGCATTCTTATTGTACTCTTTACCTTCTTATTAATAAAGATGGATCATAGTCGAAGTCTTTGAGTCTTGATAATAAAAAACTTGAGATAAAGATCATGAAGTTGAGTCATGAGTCGGACATAAAAGTTTGCGTCTATGAATTCTACAACAGTTATTGAAGTTAATGTTTGGGTTAGGTAAAATAGCTTTCCTTCTACTTGAGGGATATTAAAACTTAGGTTAAAACAAAATACGAGCGAGCCTTACAGTAGTCGCGTATGATGTGTAACATTTGAAACCTCACCTTATATTAGTAAAAAAAGAAATAAAAGGTTCTAAAATCAAATCAAATAGCGCGCGCCTTCGCGACTTCCTGTTACACACTTCCGTCCCATTTCACGAAATCACTCCCACAAAATGAAGGAAAGCGAGAGAAGAGATGTTACACATCAAAAAGAGAATATACGGCACTCGCGGCTCAAAAGTGTACCGCTTAAATTGTGGTGCATGAACACAATTCGCTTCAGTTACAATTTGACATCCAAATACGCTGCATGTGAACTTAATATAACAAAATTGCGTATATTCTGTGTTATAAAGATAAAACAATGCCTTTGAAGCTTATAAAAAGAACACTAACGTCTTTGACCTATTGGAGGCTTTGGGTATATTAGGATAATGACCCTATGACTTCCGTTTGGTTATTTAACAGGAACTAGGGACTTTGTATTTGATCTGAGGGGGCCTCATATCAATCGCGCGGCCCTGGGCACTTGCCCAAAGTGCCCACTGGGAAAGACGGGTCTGATGGCAACACTTTTCACTTGTAAAACTATAAACTTTTTTTTTCAAAAATCACGGTTTGTCTTCAATGTTATTTATTTATTCGCCATTTGTTATCAAGAAAAGGACAACAATACAGTTCAGCCGTTTGTAGAGGGAAAAGAAAACGCAGTCAGCCGACTGTAAAGCGGTCTCGTCGTTTCGCTCGCGCTGCGTTGAAGCGTACAGTTCTGTCTCGCTCGCTCGATTGAATGTTTATTTACAGAAGTGTGCGTGCGTGAGAGTCGCTTATGTAATTAAGTCGGAGCATATTTTATTTGATGCTAGTATGAGCGTACCGTATCTTCTCTTTTTACTTCTATCTCTTTTTATCTAAGTATTAAATTAATAATTATATTATATGTTTGCGAAACAGTTCTTAAGATACTTGTCTATTGAAATAGCTACGGTACTACAACCATCCAGACACAACGCAATACATATCTCTTTCAATAAAAAAAGTTCCTAAGAAAGATGTAATCCTACAACAAGCATATTTTAGGAGATTAACCAGGTTCGTATCTAAGTTTACCTTAATTAAATATACTTCAAGTCTTTATTTAAATACATTAAATCTAATACTAATTCATTAACATTCATAAGATTGATATGAACACGATTATAAAATATATAGGTAAGTAAGATGCTTATAACATTAAGAGTATATGTTTATCTTCTTAACAATGAAAGTCTTTGTCTTTTCATGCTGGAATGGGAGTAAACGAAATAGTTATGTTATGATATTAGTGTGGTAAGTTGGTTATTACAAACGAGAAGACGAATGCTTACCATAGTCACGAGTTTGTAAATACCAATCCCGCACGAATGTCATACAAAGTTTTTCAATACATTTGCGTTAAAACAGGACCTTTACCTCATTTATGTAATAAAGCAAACTGTTTTCTAATAAGAAATTTGTCGTGCGGATGGTGAAAATAAGAACTACCTTCATCATGTATTAAAGTGAGACAAAGGTACAGATAAAAAGTTTTCAATGGAGGTTCGTCCAGAAATAAGAAAAATAAACGTAAAACATACGCACCGCGCCATTTGCGGAGCATGCGGTAAAATGTTTTAGCGCACACTCTGTTGTATAGCCCATAATTTTGAACTTTCAAACAATGCATACAACCTCCGAAAATGATTTTTTAGCAAATGTGTTGAAAAATATATACTGCGACAATTTATGATTAAAACACAATTTTGACTCAATCAATGTAGCGTCAGCGTAACGCTCTGAGAGAGATAATAATTATAGTAAGTTATTTTAAAACAAAATTTTGCTATCATCGATAAAAAAAAACTAATAAGTTAGGTACTTAAAAAAATAATTTTGCTGCCATCAATGAAAAGACATCTTTAATTCTATTGCAGTAAGAGCCATTTGGAAGAACAACAACGTTCGCCTTGTTTATATACTGGCGTATTTTAATCACTTTCAGCGGATAAATTTAATTATCCTGTAATACAAAACTACAAAATTCTATTACAAAATTAAGGCTATTTTACATAACGCATATCTTATGCAATATCATTTTATTTATTGCTAAAGTTTCAAATCGACGTCTAACTTGTTCCAAATAAGGAACAGGTTTTCACGAACTCTTATAACCATAGGCATGTGTAATAGGTATAAGTTTTTTTTTACATACAATGTACACACACACACCTTTTACGATACACAGACAGCGGTTCCGGAAACATGACGTACCATTTGAGATAGTTACACAAAACCTGTCTAACTTTATCTATAGGGCTTTATTGTTAGAGATCTTGGTACACTCGAATATTAACGTGATAATAGGGATTATGGATGTTATTCAAATAAGGCTAAGTTTTGTATAATATTAAGGCTTTTGGCTAGACTTTTGAATTGTTCCTTCATTAATATTTTTGAATAAATTTTCATTTTGAGAAAAAAAAATTATACAAGTTTGAAAAGCTTGTGGGAAATTCAAATATCTGAAGAGCGGTTGTGACGTAGAAATACATAACAACGAATCGACAAACAACATGTTCACAGAATATGTCAAAGACAACTAGACCTAGAACGAGTGCGTTGCGCTAGCGCACCTAACCTCCTAATCTAGCTGTGGACTTGTTTGTTTTGTTGCTACGTTGCTATGAACTGTGACGTCACACCCAAGGGCGGATCCAGAGGTGGGGGGGGGGGGGGGGGGTCATGACCTCCCCCTGGGCTGGGTCCATCTGTACCACTTCACAATCTGTACTCACTGTCACTTGATCACGACTATATGACCCCCCTTGGCGTCAAAGCTGGATCCGCCCTTGGTCACACCAAGAGATTCAAAATAGCATGTGCATAAAATGACTGTGTAAAGGGGCTATTTAAAACAATTATTAGAGATAAATTACACTACTTTTTCGACGTTGAATATTTAAACTTATATATATTAAGGTAATTTAAACTACTAATGAAATAAAAATGTAAAAGAAAATATGCATATTCCCTATTATTATTATTCAGTTCTGTGAGCCGTTCCTTACATTTGGTTACATTATAAAATTACATAGCTGCTATTAACTATGCAACCAGGGGAAGAGTATATTTACTCACTACTAGTGCTTCCCGCGACTCCGTCTGCGTGGAATTATTTGTTTGACCCATACAATCCACCGTTTTCTTCCCTTTAAAAGGAGATTTCTGTGGTAAAAGCTATGCTTTGTCCTTCCCCGCGGCTCAAAACTATCTCTATACCGAATTTAGTCTAAATCAGTTCAGTGGTTTATGCGTGAAGAGGTAAAAGACAGACACATATATTAGTATGGATTATTTGTCTCCACATTTTGTGAACACCATCAACATTTTTTGTAAACATGTGTCATTATGAGTTAGGATGTGGCAAGGATTCCCTTGCAGTGGCAATTATCTTGTTTCAGTAAAGTAAGGGTATTTATGGAAATTATATATCACACTAATATTATAAAGGCGAAAATTTGTGAGTGTGTGAGATGTGAACACTCACAGTGTGTATGTTTGTAACTTATTCACGTCTAAACGGCTGAAGCGATTTTAATAAAATTTGGTATGGAGTTAGCTGACACCCTAGATTAATACATAGGCTACTTTTATCCCGAAAAAATGTTAGGTTCCAGAAGGATTTTCAAGAAACTAAGTTAATGCAGACGAAGTCGCGGGCGACCTCTAGTCTCATATATATATATTCTTAAGAAAAGTTTACTAGAAAAAAATCCACGCGGACCAGGCAGCGGACGGGACCGCTCCCGCTCCCGTCCGCTGCATGGTCCGCGTGGATTTTTTTCTAGTAAACTTTTTTTTAGATTTAAACATCTAGCAGTTCAATGCTAAAAAATAAATAAAATCATATATATTCTTATCTATTATTTTTTTATCTTCGTATTTTTGTTACATATTTAAATGCTAATTCTTGTATCAGTAGCGTTACCGTTAGCCTCACCGTTAATTTACGACGGTTCACTCCAACGTGTTTTTAATTAAATTAGAATTTTGTTATTGATAATTACTTGCTGTCGATTTATTTAAGTAAATTGTAACTTGTTTTGAATGAAAAATATAATTTTCATTCTTAATAGTTAGCAGTTATTATAGCTATTAACGGGATTGTTACCATGTACCTTGTTTTTTATGAGTCTCCGATATTTCGGCACTGTTGCAAGCGCCATGATCACGGAGTCTCCGTGACCATCTTAGTGATTATGAAAGTTTAAAACAATTATCAGTTATATTGTTTTAAACATTCATGGTCACTAACATTATAGCTATTAACGGGATTGTTACCACGCACCGTGTTTTTTATGAGTCTCCGATATTTCGACACTGTTGCAAGCGCCATGAACTAGGAGTAACTGAAGTAATTGCGGGTAGATGTTGTTGCCATAAAGATATGTCTACCCTCAACGTCGTCTTTTATCATGGCGCTTGCAACAGTGCCGAAATATCGAAGATTCATAAAAAACAAGGTACATGGTAACAATCCCGTTAATAGCTATAAAATTAGTAGTTATAAAGTCTTACTTGCTGCTATATCCACTAATGTACAAAAACAAGTCTAACCTACAGTTCTTGGTGTTTTTCCATCTTCTACTCTTGAATATAATTAGATAGTTATTACTTTTTATGTAACTTGCATGATTTATAATATGAATATACCTACAAATTACGTATAGTATTTCAATAGTTTCGTTAGAAGTCGACTTTTTTTTATTCTTCGGTAGATTGTTACAAGTTTATTTGTAACGTTATTCATGTAAGTATGAATTAACATATTACATAATGTACGTAGACTTTTGATCGTTAGAAGTCCCCTTTCTTCTTCATTGGATTGTTACAAGGGAGAAAAACAAGGGACATATTTATCATTATTATTATGCAACTGCCCGCTCGGCAGTGGGCGGGTGAGGGGAAAGTTTAAATTCTTGATAAAATTAGCAATATTTGACAAGTTTTTTGAAAACGATCTCACTTTATTTATTTATGTTAACGGCGCCTATTAAAAATGGATATTCACCATTCTGTTGTGTATTACAGTAAAAAAATACTCTTAAAATTTGTCGCGAAAACGTTTCTCTGGATATTATGGCGTCTTACTAGTATGTGACGTCACACAACTTGTCATTAAAATGGCAAACGATACAATGTAATATCACTTTCACGGGAGGCTTACTAGCATGTGACGTCATTTTAGTCTTCACCAATCGCAGGCGTTTTCGGTCACGTGACAATAGAAAGAAGAAAAAAAAAAACTTCTATTTAACGATTTTTAAGGAAGTCATTAATTATTCGTTATCTCAGAGTAGTAAAATAGCTGCTAATATTCCCATTAAATACAGATGCCAACAATTGGTACTCTAATTTTTATACTGCCCAATAGCCATTATAACTATGTAGGCAATTGCTAATTATACCAAGAATGCAAATTTTACACAAGTACTTGCTGTTCATTACTCAAAAACTAGTCTCACTAATAAGTCGCGGCATGTAACTCTAGTGCTGAACAAAAAGCGAACAAAGAGCGCATGAGTACGACCACTCAGATTAGAGTGGTCAAGAGGCTCCAGACGGTGAGGAGACTCCCCCCTTGGGGAGATGCCATCCGCCTGGAATACCTCTAGAGGCACTCGCCAATTCTCGGCTTGAGGTCCCTCTAGGATCTCGCCGGCCTCTAACCCGGTGCGGCTGTAAATGTCATCTGTGCCTAGGATTACTATTTAAAAAGTCCTGACAAAAAGCCGGACATTTCGATAAAAGTCACAAAATGCAAACATCACCCACTTAGGTACAGTGATATTATACGCGTGGTAGCAGACGCTCGCATCACGAGGGGGGTCTCGTTGTTGATTTTTAAAGATTATTTAAATTTTGTTTTAAATTAATGAGACCTTAATTAATTTGATATAAATTAATAAGTAGTTTTACTCATATTCCACCTACTTAAAACAATCCGGACAATTTAAAAGCCGGACAAAGACCGGACAAAATGCTAAAAGTCCGGACATATCCGGACGGATGGTAACCGTATCTGTGACCAACAGCATACACACTTAAAAATTAACGCAACGTTTAGTAATCAGTTGAACAAAGTTACAAAGATAATTCAAAGTAACGGTTGTGCACTGACTAATCTGTCATGAGGAAACAACACTATTATGTCAACTCCATAAAAGAGACGACGTGAGGCACATCGACACTGGATGCTATGAGATGCGAGCTAGTGGTGAATAGATATTGATACACGTGTGATACTTAATAGCAAATCAATTTGTTTCATTCAGGTAATATATAAGTACATCAGAATGTTGACTTGTTCTTTTAATTACAATTTTATATTTCAAAGGTAGTTTGAATCAATTTTCTGGTATACAGTAAAATTACTAAAAATGACGGCGAAAAAACACGATCCAACACATCTTAATTTTTACTTCTGAGCAATAACGGACAGCGCTAGTGTTTCGTGCCGTGACTTATACGCAGCAGGGCTTGTAACCGGTTTCGAGAATACCGGTAAATATAGGTTCATACCGATTTTTAGTAAAGGTTTCGTTCGGAGCGTGTCCGAAATGAAAGCGGTACCTAAAAACTTAATAAACCGGTTTAATCCAGAGCGACACGTGCACGCGTTGGGCATCGCTTGAAGTTTGTCTTGTTTGAACTAATCAAGTCACAACTTGTTAATGCTCAGAGATTGATGCATTTATTGACACATTGACACACAGACATTTAGCGTCTAGTGAGTCAAGTATTCATTTTGTAGTTCTGTACTGCAAAGTACTTCACTCACTCGCTCTGTAGTTGGAAACAAACTGACATAAAATCATTATAAATTTGAATTGAAACGGCGAAGGCGATGCCGTCGTTAAGAGCGAAATGAAACCCTTTAAAAACCGCTAAATTGATTCAAAGCCTATTTGATTTCGCTTTTTAGGAAAACCGGTTTTTTAAGGTTAAGGTAGAGCCAAACCTAAATAAAACTTTCCTAATGTACTTGATACTGATTTAGGTTTGAAAATTAACCGGTAAACAAGTCCTAAAACGCAGTTTATGGTTTTTGCCATCGTCTAGAATTGAACTAAATAATTATTACATTTAATAAAACTTGTAAGTTATTCATTTTATGAATGTTCCTACTAATAACGTAGTCTTTCAATAGTTTGTTACGTGTTGACTAAAGCTCTTCCTTGGTTCCTCTTAGCAAATTGTTACAAGGTGAAAAAATCAAAGTATATAAAGAAAATTTCTAGAAAAAATTCCACGCGGACCAGGCAGCAGACGGGAATCGAACCAGCACCCTTCGCTATTTAAAATTAATTTGACTGACCCGCGTGGTTTTTTTCCAAGTAAAATTTTCTTTATATTTAAACATTTGGCAGTTAAATGCTTAAATAATACAAATATAATCAAAGGATATGTTTCTCAATGTGTAAACTTCCGCTTGGCAGAAGGCGGGCGTGGGGTCAGTGACCGTTGAGGGCGGGCATATGAGCGTTAGCGGGTACATTAGCGGTAGCGGATACATTCGCAGTAGTGGGCGCGAGTGCTTGAAGTTGCTCCGCGTATTCGGTGTAGAGCCGCTGCCATCGCAATTGTCGGACAAGAAGGGACAACATTTCTTCCAAGATGTCGTGCTTTTTGATGCCCTGCAAGAGTACCACAAGGGTGTGTTGTGAGGGCACTGTTCTTTGTCACGTAGTAGTGCATAAGTAAAAGTCTTTTATATATAACTGTGTGTGTGATTGTGTTAAACTCAATAGTGGAGTAAGTAATCTTCAATTCAATCTAGTTGGATTAATAAGTATTATTAAATTTTTCATTAAGATTTGCCTTGGCCAGGGTATAGATTGGACCGGAACCAGTCCAATCTTGGGATTCTGACTGGTTCGGATTGGATTGGAGTGCTTGGGCACTGACCACTATGCTTTTTTAAATATTTATATTGAATGCTTAAAATGTGACTCTGTTTCAAAGGTTTGTAATGCGATGTTCATAAAATCAAGTAAAAATTTGATATTATAAAGCTACGTATTTACGGGACTGCACTCGACTATATTTGACGACCTTCGTGGCCCAGTGGTTTGTACGCCGGGTTTCATGGTGTCGCCGCCGACTCGAGAGGTCCCGGGTTCAAATCCCGGTGGAGGCAGATGTTTGTTGATGAATACTAGCATTTGTACTCCAGTCATGGATGTTTAATATGTATTTCAATATACATATACTTATTTATGCACAGTATAATGTATTGTATCCGTTACTCTAGCATCCCATAACACAAGCTTTACAGTGCTTACTTTGGGGCTAGGCTTATTGGTGTGTGTTGGAAATACACTCCCAGACACATCTATCGGCCCACTTAAGTTTTATCGGACAATAGCAAAAATATATGTTAGGCTGAGCAATAATAATATATTTAAAAAAAAAACACACGAAATAGATGGTCAATAAAGCAGCTTCAAACCTGCGTAAAAACTTTTTGCTTAATGTAACTTTAATATTTGCTAGAGCCCGTCAAATCAAAACTTAAAATGCTAGGTGGGCCGATAGATGTGTCTGGGAGCTTATTGCTTTTTAGTATAAAACCTTACCAATATGGAGTTCTCCCAGTGGCGAGGCGTCGATATGGCGTGGCTCGGACCCAACATGTCGTCTAGTAAAGCTCGCAGTTGATCTTCACTACCTGCATCACAATAAAAATCTTATAACTTATTATGTAATCCAAAACGCTTCACTTGACACTTTAAGAATCCCACAGGAACGTAACATTTTCCACCTAAGTTAGTTTAACAAGGCCGCGGTCCAGTGGCGGTAGTCGCGCGGTATCTGTGCGGGATTATGTCATATTACCACTAACCGTGTGTGTAGATGCTGGAACAAGGCCGCAGTCCAGTGGCGGTATTCGCGCGGTATTTGTGCGGGATTATGTCATATTACCACTAACCGTGCTGCACTAGATGCTGGAATAAGGCCGCGGTCCAGTGCCGGTAGTCGCGCGGTATCTGTGCGGGATTATATCATATTACCACTAACCGTGTGTGTAGATGCTGGAACAAGGCCGCGGTCCAGTGGCGGTAGTCGCGCGGTATCTGTGCGGGATTATGTCATATTACCACTAACCGTGTGTGTAGATGCTGGAACAAGGCCGCGGTCCAGTGGCGGTAGTCGCGCGGTATCTGTGCGGGATTATGTCATATTACCACTAACCGTGCTGCACTAGATGCTGGAATAAGGCCGCGGTCCAGTGCCGGTAGTCGCGCGGTATCATCTGTGCGGGATTATGTCATATTACCACTAACCGTGTGTGTAGATGCTGGAACAAGGCCGCGGTCCAGTGGCGGTAGTCGCGCGGTATCTGTGCGGGATTATGTCATATTACCACTAACCGTGCTGCAATAGATGCTGGAATAAGGCCGCGGTCCAGTGCCGGTAGTCGCGCGGTATCTGAGCGGGTTTATTTCATATTACCACTAACCGTGCTGCACTAGATGCTGGAACAAGGCCGCTTTCCAGTGGCGGTAGTCGCGCGGCAACCGCAGGTGGAGACAGACGGCTACCTGGGCCTCTAGCCAGCTGCGGGCGGCCGTCGCGCTGTATCTGTATAAATAAAAAAAAATAAGAAACAGATAATGGTGTCGATTCTGTAATGATTGTCTCAACTTCAAAACGATATTGAACATCATTCTCTCCTTTTCATTCTGTATAGAGAAAAACAAGGATTCACTGTTGTCAAATTTAAGTTTAGGTCAGAATAGACGTAATTGTGTGGTAAAATAACAGATATTAATATTAACTGTTAGCAGTGATAGTTTAGGAACAGACAACGTGTGATAAATTAATAATACAGGGTTAATTTTAAAACACCAACAACCTCATTCCACCCATCAACAGGAACCACTTTAATTATTGGACCAACTCAGAAACAGTGAAAAAAATCAGCTGTTTCATACATTTCGGTCGATTAGCTGAAGCACTTTTGTATGAAACAGCAGTTTTTTTTTCGCGATTTCAGCTCTGGTCCCATAATAAAAGTAGGTCCTGTTGATGGGTAGACATGGGAAAAAATTAAAGGGTTCTCGCAAAGTATGGAAGCATACATCGCGCAAGATAAATTCCGAGGCTAATTCTTCATATATGCAATGCACGACTAACATTAGCCGGGCCACGGCTCCCGAGCTACCATCCACCCAGCTGCTATTTCCTGGGAAAAAATTAAAGGGTTGAATCGAAAGTTGGACTGACTGTGTGGAGGCTTGCGTAGCTTGCGGGCGGCGTTGCTCGCGAGTGGAAGGGTAGCGCGGATGCAGCGCCAGGGCGGCGGGAGGTGTCCTTGTACAAGCGTACGATCCACACGCCCGCCACACTGGGTCCGTGCAGTCCGACCATACCACCCTGGTAATAACGAAACAAAAAATCATTTTATTATTTTGGCTCCTATTGACGGGTGATGAGGATTGAAACAGCCAGTGTGTCGCTTGATAACTAAGAGCATCAGTAGGATAATATATATTTTTTTCTCTTACTTTAGTAACTCGCACTCTATCGCCAAAACACTCGTCTCATAAACCCATACTGGTTGAATGGTAGAGAATGTCTATGGCATTAAGTCCGCCATTTACTGTATTTTGGTAATAAAGAATAAATAAATAAGCATCATTCAATCCGATTTGCGTCTTATATACCGGTTTCTCTAAATTAATATTAATGTGCATCAGCTGAAAAGTTTGTGCTCGGCCTGTTCTAGATACAAAGTACACGCTGACGCTGCAATTATATATATATATTTTTTAAGTGTATAACTACCAGATTTTTAAATTTAAAGAAATTATAACAAAAGATGAAAACATTAGGCAACGATTGTACGACTAAATGTCATAAAAATGTGAAAAAAAACTAAACAGCAAACAGTAATTATTTTGAATTTAAACTACGCCAGCACTTCACTTGGCTATTCGTATTTGCTATTTGTAAACTTGACATTAGTTTGTATTTATCATGTTTTGTAAGGAATGAAAAGGACAGACTGATGCTAAGCTTAAAAATACGAAACACGAATTGAAGAACAATAAGAAGAAGAATCAGAAGATTATATATAAGATAAAGAATAAGAAGAAGCAGACCCCTCTTTCCCAGTGGGCACTTTGGGCAAGTGCCCAGGGCCCCGCGTTCGATAGGGCCCCCTGTCAGATCAAATACAAAGTCCTTAGTTCCTGTTAAATCACCAAACGGGGGTCATGGGGACCCCATTATCCTAATATGCCCAAGGCCTCCAATAGGTCAAAGACGGCACGGCACACACACTGAGGAGAAGAATTGAAGTGCCGGCATTACACTAAAGAATGTTCCTCATCTACAAGATTTACAAAATCATAGTACAACTACTAAAATTTAATCAAGTATATATACCATGTACTAAGTACATTGTTAAGTTATGCAACTTTCAAAAAGGACAGGGCCCTAAGAAACTTGGTAAAATATATATGTATGTGTAACTTCAAGCTACTTCGTGCTTTAAAAATGTTCGTTAAACCCCTGAGGGTCAGTCCAGGACCGATCCCGGCTATATCTGCAGCCGTAAGCATCCATCAATTCGAGAACAGCCTAAAATATACTTGAATAAAATTCAACACAACCGTTAATAAGATTTCAGTCAAATAGTATTTGATGCGTGTACAATATATACATGTATGTATACATAAATATTTCATTTACTTGCTATAAGAGAAAGAGAGAAATAAAAACTGTTTTCTCTTGATTATATCCCCCACTCAACTCCCGTTCGCCTCGCCCGAACACACTTTTCGTAACGCGTAACGCATTCGCCAGCTTACCCCTCCAAGTCAAGCGTGCGTAAACAAGTTTCACTTCAAAAAGATACAGAGTAAAATTAAGCCTGAAACACTTACCACGAGGATAACTTCTTGCTATAAATATAACTTTTGCCGTTGCTCAGTGAGATCATTGGATGTCCATCTTCCAGGAGTGAGCAATTTGTGACCGTCACTGAAAACATCAATGCATTCTTCGTATTATATCACGGACATAAATTAACATTACATACAACATAATAAAATATCTGATATGGAAGTTAAACTTTAAAACAAACGAATTAAGGTTGAATGTCAACATCAGTATAATTTGAGACTTTTTCAGAAAAGTTTATTTGGAATGTTTACAAATTAAAATAGCTTGTTAGTTACCATATCCGAAGATTACAATGACATATTATATTGACATATTATTGCTATCGCTTATGTTAGAAGATGTTTGTTGACATAATTTACAGCTTTTTACAATGGCGGCTTTAGTATTTAGTATAATAAGCGTAGAACGCTAAAACGTATAAACGATATTTAATACCCTATCGTGGCAGAAACCTGTCCTAAAGGTACATTAGACGCTCCACGGAGCTCCGTAATATGATCGTGTAGTCCAAAACAAGGTATAGACTTTATTTAAACAGTCAATGTCGCCTTTGGTGAAAAGTAGATAAGGTCTAAATTCAAACACATGCGTCAAAGAGTTATGACAGTTCTAAATGCAAGCTCGTAAAATTTCACGACTTGTTGCTATATGCGGAAGAATATAGACTTTATTACTTTGAATCTACGCGTAATTCAAAATGCGCTGTCAGCAATATAGCAGGTACGGAGCGCGAGGAAAAGAGACGGCTATATAACCGACCATACAATAGGATATTTGACAGTATTAAAAATAAAGTACCAATTGTTAGCATCTGTGTTTAGATTGAACATTGGCAGGGGTTTTTACTATTTTTACAAAAAAATAAATATTCATAATTTTACTAAATACCCTCGAAAAAGATAATAGTTTCTTATTGTTTTAAACTTTCATGGTCACTAGCATTATAGATATTAACGGGATTGTTACCATGTACCTTGTTTTTTATGAGTCTCCGATATTTCGGCACTGTTGCAAGCGCCATGATCACGGAGTAACTGAAGTAATTGCGGGTAGATGTTATTGGCAGACATATCGGTCTACCCTCTGACGTCGTCTTTTACTGCGTTCGATACTACCACTACCATTGGTCACATTCTCACTATTCACTCGCATTTGTTCCCGGCACACAATACTCACAGTATCAGATCGCGGAACGACACTTTTATGATTTTTGCGGTTTTTACACATACGAACCACTGGATTCCACACACTAGACAATTTAAACCCATCCTCACGATTGAAATTCTTGTGTTTGGTTATTTCAATCGCTTCCCTGACCAATCTTGGTATGTAGTGGCGTTCTGTCGAGATAATTTGTGGATTATGGAGCTCAATCCAGTGATTAGGACCCGAATCAATTAAATGTTCCGCGATGGCTGATTTTTGCGTATCATTATTTCTGACTGCTTTAATGTGTTCTTTCATTCGGCATGCTATTGTCCGCTTCGTTTGGCCAATATAAGAACTACCACAGCTGCAGTCGATCTTGTATACACCAGGTTTCTCCAAGGGGAAGTTATCTTTAGGAGACCGTAGAATCTGTGATACTTTTTGTAAAGGAGTGAAGACAGTATTCAGTGAGTACTTATTAAGTATGTTAGAGATCTTGTCTGTCACTCCTTTGACATATGGCAAAAATAGTGGTTGCCTGTCTACTTTGTGTTTCTGGTGTCTTAATTTGTGTATATCCTTAAGTGATAATAGTTGTCCACCTGTAACGTAGTGTTCTGAAACCTACAATGCGCCTTCGCGCCATAATTCAAACTATTGGCTAACGTAGTGTTCTTATATGGGTTAGGAGGAATGTTATCCCAGGAAATTTATAGAACACTACGTTACACACCCCTAAAAATTTTTTTCGACAATATTTTTTTTTATAATGTGGTATTAAAATATACATACAACCCTAAATTTTCTCTTCTACCACCTGCCCCTATTTTTATGGCGGTACGAAGTTCGCTGGGTCAGCTAGTACATATATATATACTTCTTTGGTACTGTCAAAGTCAAACTGAATACTCACCATTAGGGGCCAACAGTCCTCTAAAACACAGCGGTCGTATCAGACAAGTGGCATTCGCTAAGTCCCATATGGCCAACTCGGCGGCCGTCGTCACTACTGCTAATGTGTCTCCGGATAACGTCATCTTCACCGCGGGAGACATTAACGCTGTGAAGGGGATAATTAAGAGTTTCTTAAAGCAAACATAGGAAAAAATCATCATCAGCCTATTAATGTCCCCACTGCTGGGGCACAGGCCTTCCCTATGGATGGAATAGGGAGATTGGGCCATGACCCACCACGCGGACCCAGTGCGGATTGGTGGGTGCTAACGACTGCAAATGCAGCCGGGACCAACGGCTTAACGTGCCTTCCGAAGCACGGAGAAGCTCGAGATAGTAAATTTTTGGTCACCCATCCAATGACCGACCACTGCGAAAGTTGCTTAACTTCAACGATCGCAGCCGAACGCGCTAGCCACCTGCGCCATCGAGCTCCTCATAGGAAAAAATATTTGGTTGTAATTTTGCGCTGCCTTGCAGCTTCAGAAAGGCTAGAAAGAATTCGACACGGCCATCAGGGCAGCGGTAGCGTAATGGTCAGTGCGTTCACTCGGAAAGCGAAGGATGCGGGTTCGTGTCCCATCTACTACGTCTACGAGCCTGGTTAGCGTGGATGTTTTTCTAGTAATATTTTCTTCAAACATTTGGTATTTTGATACTCAATCAAAGATAGAGGGTATTCTATCTATGCCGTAGACAGTTCAGCCACCAGCGAATGTACCATGGGAGACTATTATTGGGAAAATATTTTTATGATGTTTTTCTATTATAAAATTGTGAAAGCGTCTGCACTTCTACATGAGCGTTCTTTCTTCTTTCAACAGCGCCAAAATATCGTATTATGATAATGATAAATTATTCTGTCATAACAGCATTTCCAAGACTTTCAATGGTGTTCAAGTTTCGGACACTTGCATAATAGCTAGCTGCAAGATACCTTAAAGCTAATTACAACACTTTACTGTACAGTGAAAGTTTAACGATATAAAGTGTAAGTGACTTAGGCGCTTAATAAGGCGGACTTAGTAAGGCGCGGGTCGCGTTGCCTCGCGTCAGGCGCCACACGTGCAGCACGCCGTCCCGTCCCGTCCCCCGCTCCCTATATACAGTATATGTATCCCCTCACCTACAGGCGGCAGGGCGCGGGTCGCGTTGCCTCGCGTCAGGCGCCACACGTGCAGCACGCCGTCCCGTCCCGTCCCCCGCTCCCTATATACAGTGTATGTATCCCCTCACCTACAGGCGGCAGGGCGCGGGTCGCGTTGCCTCGCGTCAGGCGCCACACGTGCAGCACGCCGTCCCGTCCCGTCCCCCGCTCCCTATATACAGTATATGTATCCCCTCACCTACAGGCGGCAGGGCGCGGGTCGCGTTGCCTCGCGTCAGGCGCCACACGTGCAGCACGCCGTCCCGTCCCGTCCCCCGCTCCCTATATACAGTATATGTATCCCCTCACCTACAGGCGGCAGGGCGCGGGTCGCGTTGCCTCGCGTCAGGCGCCACACGTGCAGCACGCCGTCCCGTCCCCCGCTCCCTATATACAGTGTATGTATCCCCTCACCTACAGGCGGCAGGGCGCGGGTCGCGTTGCCTCGCGTCAGGCGCCACACGTGCAGCACGCCGTCCCGTCCCGTCCCCCGCTCCCTATATACAGTATATGTATCCCCTCACCTACAGGCGGCAGGGCGCGGGTCGCGTTGCCTCGCGTCAGGCGCCACACGTGCAGCACTCCGTCCGCGCAGCCCGCGCACGCCCAGCGCGCGTCGCACGACACGCACGTCACCGCACTACCTGTGTCCACAGTCAGTGTTAACGATTATGTACATATGAGTGGTAGTTCATTGTCACTACTGCTTCCGCAAATTTAACGTTAAACTAGCACCAGCCAGTCTACCGCGAGCCTTCCTGATAGTGACACCGTATTAATTATAAAATACAAAAAAATAAAAATATACAATTTAATTTTTGGTATTCAATGGACGATGTTACCCAAGATGATGTACCATAAAGTAAATAATAAAAACATAACTAAAGTAATCACTGATACAACAATTTTATTCCACTTTTTTGATTAGTAATAAGAATATTAAACAAATTACCTAAATATGTCTCCCACACAGGATCGTTGGACACTGAATTGTTTGGTAACAGCTGTAGTCGAGCTAACGTGCCGTAGTATGTGCTCACTGCTTTGTTTACCACCTGTAAATATTATACGTATATATATATATATGTTTTTTATTTACATGTTATGAAAACTAAAACTCTGTCCGTTGAATGTAAAATGACATTTGAGTGATATGAACAAAACACAACGCACTACGGGCCCGGCGGTGCCGAGCGCGGGTGCGGCCAGGCAGGCGGGCGGGCCGGGCGCGGGCGCGGGGCGGGCCCGCTTGATGCACACACACTACGTACCTGCAGCCGCAGCGGGCCGGCGGCGCGCACTACGGGCCCGGCGGTGCCGAGCGCGGGCGCGGCCAGGCAGGCGGGCGGGCCGGGCGCGGGCGCGGGGCGGGCCCGCTTGATGCACACACACTACGTACCTGCAGCCGCAGCGGGCCGGCGGCGCGCACTACGGGCCCGGCGGTGCCGAGCGCGGGCGCGGCCAGGCAGGCGGGCGGGCCGGGCGCGGGCGCGGGGCGGGCCCGCTTGATGCACACACACTACGTACCTGCAGCCGCAGCGGGCCGGCGGCGCGCACTACGGGCCCGGCGGTGCCGAGCGCGGGCGCGGCCAGGCAGGCGGGCGGGCCGGGCGCGGGCGCGGGGCGGGCCCGCTTGATGCACACACACTACGTACCTGCAGCCGCAGCGGGCCGGCGGCGCGCACTACGGGCCCGGCGGTGCCGAGCGCGGGCGCGGCCAGGCAGGCGGGCGGGCCGGGCGCGGGCGCGGGGCGGGCCCGCTTGATGCACACACACTACGTACCTGCAGCCGCAGCGGGCCGGCGGCGCGCACTACGGGCCCGGCGGTGCCGAGCGCGGGCGCGGCCAGGCAGGCGGGCGGGCCGGGCGCGGGCGCGGGGCGGGCCCGCTTGATGCACACACACTACGTACCTGCAGCCGCAGCGGGCCGGCGGCGCGCACTACGGGCCCGGCGGTGCCGAGCGCGGGCGCGGCCAGGCAGGCGGGCGGGCCGGGCGCGGGCGCGGGGCGGGCCCGCTTGATGCACACACACTACGTACCTGCAGCCGCAGCGGGCCGGCGGCGCGCACTACGGGCCCGGCGGTGCCGAGCGCGGGCGCGGCCAGGCAGGCGGGCGGGCCGGGCGCGGGCGCGGGGCGGGCCCGCTTGATGCACACACACTACGTACCTGCAGCCGCAGCGGGCCGGCGGCGCGCACTACGGGCCCGGCGGTGCCGAGCGCGGGCGCGGCCAGGCAGGCGGGCGGGCCGGGCGCGGGCGCGGGGCGGGCCCGCTTGATGCACACACACTACGTACCTGCAGCCGCAGCGGGCCGGCGGCGCGCACTACGGGCCCGGCGGTGCCGAGCGCGGGCGCGGCCAGGCAGGCGGGCGGGCCGGGCGCGGGCGCGGGGCGGGCCCGCTTGATGCACACACACTACGTACCTGCAGCCGCAGCGGGCCGGCGGCGCGCACTACGGGCCCGGCGGTGCCGAGCGCGGGCGCGGCCAGGCAGGCGGGCGGGCCGGGCGCGGGCGCGGGGCGGGCCCGCTTGATGCACACACACTACGTACCTGCAGCCGCAGCGGGCCGGCGGCGCGCACTACGGGCCCGGCGGTGCCGAGCGCGGGCGCGGCCAGGCAGGCGGGCGGGCCGGGCGCGGGCGCGGGGCGGGCCCGCTTGATGCACACACACTACGTACCTGCAGCCGCAGCGGGCCGGCGGCGCGCACTACGGGCCCGGCGGTGCCGAGCGCGGGCGCGGCCAGGCAGGCGGGCGGGCCGGGCGCGGGCGCGGGGCGGGCCCGCTTGATGCACACACACTACGTACCTGCAGCCGCAGCGGGCCGGCGGCGCGCACTACGGGCCCGGCGGTGCCGAGCGCGGGCGCGGCCAGGCAGGCGGGCGGGCCGGGCGCGGGCGCGGGGCGGGCCCGCTTGATGCACACACACTACGTACCTGCAGCCGCAGCGGGCCGGCGGCGCGCACTACGGGCCCGGCGGTGCCGAGCGCGGGCGCGGCCAGGCAGGCGGGCGGGCCGGGCGCGGGCGCGGGGCGGGCCCGCTTGATGCACACACACTACGTACCTGCAGCCGCAGCGGGCCGGCGGCGCGCACTACGGGCCCGGCGGTGCCGAGCGCGGGCGCGGCCAGGCAGGCGGGCGGGCCGGGCGCGGGCGCGGGGCGGGCCCGCTTGATGCACACACACTACGTACCTGCAGCCGCAGCGGGCCGGCGGCGCGCACTACGGGCCCGGCGGTGCCGAGCGCGGGCGCGGCCAGGCAGGCGGGCGGGCCGGGCGCGGGCGCGGGGCGGGCCCGCTTGATGCACACACACTACGTACCTGCAGCCGCAGCGGGCCGGCGGCGCGCACTACGGGCCCGGCGGTGCCGAGCGCGGGCGCGGCCAGGCAGGCGGGCGGGCCGGGCGCGGGCGCGGGGCGGGCCCGCTTGATGCACACACACTACGTACCTGCAGCCGCAGCGGGCCGGCGGCGCGCACTACGGGCCCGGCGGTGCCGAGCGCGGGCGCGGCCAGGCAGGCGGGCGGGCCGGGCGCGGGCGCGGGGCGGGCCCGCTTGATGCACACACACTACGTACCTGCAGCCGCAGCGGGCCGGCGGCGCGCACTACGGGCCCGGCGGTGCCGAGCGCGGGCGCGGCCAGGCAGGCGGGCGGGCCGGGCGCGGGCGCGGGGCGGGCCCGCTTGATGCACACACACTACGTACCTGCAGCCGCAGCGGGCCGGCGGCGCGCACTACGGGCCCGGCGGTGCCGAGCGCGGGCGCGGCCAGGCAGGCGGGCGGGCCGGGCGCGGGCGCGGGGCGGGCCCGCTTGATGCACACACACTACGTACCTGCAGCCGCAGCGGGCCGGCGGCGCGCACTACGGGCCCGGCGGTGCCGAGCGCGGGCGCGGCCAGGCAGGCGGGCGGGCCGGGCGCGGGCGCGGGGCGGGCCCGCTTGATGCACACACACTACGTACCTGCAGCCGCAGCGGGCCGGCGGCGCGCACTACGGGCCCGGCGGTGCCGAGCGCGGGCGCGGCCAGGCAGGCGGGCGGGCCGGGCGCGGGCGCGGGGCGGGCCCGCTTGATGCACACACACTACGTACCTGCAGCCGCAGCGGGCCGGCGGCGCGCACTACGGGCCCGGCGGTGCCGAGCGCGGGCGCGGCCAGGCAGGCGGGCGGGCCGGGCGCGGGCGCGGGGCGGGCCCGCTTGATGCACACACACTACGTACCTGCAGCCGCAGCGGGCCGGCGGCGCGCACTACGGGCCCGGCGGTGCCGAGCGCGGGCGCGGCCAGGCAGGCGGGCGGGCCGGGCGCGGGCGCGGGGCGGGCCCGCTTGATGCACACACACTACGTACCTGCAGCCGCAGCGGGCCGGCGGCGCGCACTACGGGCCCGGCGGTGCCGAGCGCGGGCGCGGCCAGGCAGGCGGCCGGGCCGGGCGCGGGCGCGGGGCGGGCCCGCTTGGCCCCCGCCCCGGACTCGCTGGCGCCTCCACCCCCCACGCGAGGCCCCGGCAGCCCCGCCCCGCTGCCACCTCCGCCCGCGCTGCGTTTGCGGAGCCGTTGGTCTAGGCCGCTGCAGGGAATAATTTTCAGTTATCCAACAAATTTCATCATCATCATCATACACCGTGTATTTTGAGTTACATAGGAAATGCAGAACTAAAGTATCGTCTTCGCCTTATTTAGGTCATTTGCTAAGGTGCAATTAAGTGTCGATTTCGAGCACATTTTTGAACAAATAATAACAAAAGATATAAAAGCAGGCCCCGCCCCCACTCCCACCGTCGCTCGCACTGCGTTTACGCAGCCGCTGTTCTAATCCACTGCGAGACAACACGGACATTTACAATGCTTCTTTTCTAGAACCATAAAACACTCCCACTATGTAACTATGTAACTCAACACACAGACCACATACACCGTAAATAATTTTGAGTTTCTTAAGAAATGTAGAATTAAAGTATCGTTGCTCTATTTAGGTCATTAGCTGTGGTGCAATAAAAACTTGACCCGCCATAGAAATTCTAGGATTCGCTGAACTATCGTGACAGGACGTCACACTTTTTCGTGCGTGCAGCCGGTGTTCATCGATGTGTAAGATGTTGCCACGTCAATAAACTCACTTGTCCGAAAGCCTAGAGTTGTTCAAAGCCGCGTGGTTGCTGACGTTCGGATGTATAATGATGTCGTCTCGCACTTCCACTCGGATCCGGGACTTGCTCTGTGAGGATGTGCTGAAGCAGTTCTCACCGCCGCTAGGCTGCGACCCCATCGATTCACTGGGGAAATATTACATTAAAATATCAAAGCTTTGTTCTGATTAACAACATCAGTTTAATATTAAAGCGGTGCTGAGAATAGTGCGACGAATTAGAAATGATGTGGAAGCACAATATAATTTGACAAATCAATTATCTGCAAATGGGTTCGGCTATTCATTCATATATTGGACGAAACATAGTAATATTTTACCGTATTATAATAATAAGTCTCTAATTAGGACCTCCAGGTGGCAGCTTTATTGCAAAGAAAATGCATTTTTTTACAATAGATGTCGCTAGGTGCGCTTAAATGTGATTCATGTAAGTTGATTTTTCTCAGAGATAAACTTTTTAATGTAATATAAATTGTCATGGTTGTGTACGATAGCGCAATAAATAAATATTGTATTCTACCACATAAATGTTAATACTTTTAAACTGATAATTAAAGCAATTCGTGCAAGATTATTCCCAGAATATATATATAAAAATGCACAACGTTAATATTCAAGTTTTTACTTCTGCCGGCACTCCCAGAGTGCCGGAGTGATGAAGATTAAGGCTGTCCGGTCCGGTAGAGAGTCCATTAGCCCATACTTAGCGTTCTTTGCATTTACTGAGGTTGAATTTTATAAGAAAAGTAATGTTTGTTTATAGTTACTTGGCGTCAATGCTGGTGAGCGGAATGAAGACTGGCGTGATTCGTCTCTTGCCGTCAGAAGTGCGCGTTTCGATCTGTCTGTCCACTGGCCGGACGACACTTAGAGCAGGACTGACTTTTGACTGGACAAAAAAGTTTTCTTATTACTGACCATACATTTTTGTTGACAAATCTTACTCAATCTTGCTATCAATCTAGTCAGAGATAATTATTTTAAGGGTCTTAGAACCAAAAAACTCCCCCACTACAGACCAAATACACCGTGAATTTTGAGTTACCTAAGAAATGTAGAATTAAAGTTTACAAGCTAATTCAAACAACAATTTTAATATTTCAGCAAAGAAAATAAAAAATGTATATTTAAAAAGCATTCAGCTGAAATTTTCACGCGAGACCGACTCGCACTTGACCGGTTTTTCTTTATACAAAACATTACAGAGATTATATTGTTTTGAATGATTTGTCACTTTTAGGCGTGGTTTTCTCCCGGACAACCTCGTTCTTGGCTTCTTGTTTCTCCCGGGCCAATAGAATCTCAGAACACTCCACTAGAAGTTCGGTATTACTTTATTTATTATTATTTAGCTGATGATAATTGATACTTACTATGGACGAGTGACTCAAGATCAATGATTTGTCACTTTTAGGCGTGGTTTCCTCCCAGACAACCTCCTTCTTGGCTTCTTGTTTCTCCCGGGCCAATAGAATCTCAGAACGCTCCACTAGAATATCGGTATTACTTTATTTATTATTATTTAGCTGATGATAATTGATACTTACTATGAACGAGTGACTCAAGATCAATGATTTGTCACTTTTAGGCGTGGTTCCCTTCCGGACAACCTCCTTCTTGGCTTCTTTTTTCTCCCGGGCCAATAGAATCTCAGAATGCTCCACTAGAATATCGGTATTACTTTATTTATTATTATTTAGCTGATGATAATTGATACTTACTATGGACGAGTGACTCAAGATCAATGATTTGTCACTTTTAGGCGTGGTTTCCTCCCGGACAACCTCCTTCTTGGCTTCTTGTTTCTCCCGGGCCAATAGAATCTCAGAACGCTCCACTAGAATATCGGTATTACTTTATTTATTATTATTTAGCTGATGATAATTGATACTTACTATGGACGAGTGACTCAAATTCAATGATTTGTCACTTTTAGGCGTAGTTTCCTCCCTGACAACCTCCTTCTTGGCTTCTTGTTTCTCCCGGGCCAATAGAATCTCAGGACACTCCACTAGAAGGTTGGACGACAATTCGTTGCCCGACTCGTTGGCCAAACATTTGCCGTAGATCTTCTCGTAAAACGCATTCTGAAATTGGTGACTTAGTCAAATTATTCAATAGATTTGTGCACAGATTATTTCACTTATATATATATAAAATGTTACTAGTGGTCGCATATTGGTTATAAATTTGACCCTTTTTAGTTTCGCTGTTTAAGTGTATACTTCTTTGTGAGGTTCTATATCAAAAAGTTGTTTGGTGTCTCAAACGTATTGTAATATATATACAATGGAATATTCATTTTAATAATTGAATGTATCTTAAATTAATCAATAGTTGCAACACTTACACCAATTAGCCTAGCCCTAAAGTCAGCACGGTAGGCCTGTGTAATGGGATACTAGTAACGGATAGAATGCATGTATTGATACATAGTATAAGTATATTTATATAGAAATACATATTAAGCATCCATGACTAGAGTACAGAGGCTCGTATTCATCACACAAACATCTGCCCCCACCGGGATTCGAACCCGGGAATATGGGACCTCTCTAGTTGGCGACACCTTGAAACCCGGCGAACAAACCACTCAGCCACAAATCTAAACTCATTATTGTAAGTAAGTAATAATAATAAATCAATAAACACTTTATTGCTAATAACAATAATATGGATAAAGGTGGTCTTATCAATAAAAGCGATCTCTTCCAGAGAACCTTCGCGGTATAGGAAAACTAAAAGGAAAAGTAAATGTAGTATGCCAGCAAATAATACCAAAGTGGATAAAATTTTTTTGCTTTCTCCCCTCCATATAAACTTTTATCAGGCAATTTCTCACACACTTTCATGATGAAAATGTGCTAAAGAAATGCACAAAAAAATCTCCTTGTCTTAATCTAAATCAATTTATAGTGATACCCATCCAAATACTGTATTTTAGGCATTAGGAATCGAGGAGCTCGATGGCGCAGATGGTTAGCGCGTTCAGCTGCGATCGTTGAAGTTAAGCAACTTTCGCAGTGGTCAGTCATTGGATGGGTGACCAAAAATCTTCTATCTCGATTTCCTCCGTGCTTCGGAAGGCACGTTAAGCTGTTGGTCCCGGTTGCATCCGCAGCACCCGCCAATCCGCACTGGGCCCGCGTGGTGGGTAATGGCCCAATCTCTCTATTCCATCCATAGGGAAGGCCTGTACCCCAGCAGTGGGGACAATAATAGGCTGATGAAGATGATGATGAGGCATGAGGAAATAAAATGAAAAATCTATACACAGACCTTCTCCTCCACAGTGAGTGGTGTACCGATTTCTTTGTTAGTGAACTGTATACATGCCACTGTTCCGTCTGAGCTGCACGCTAACAGGTTCAAACCTATTGATGAACATATAATTTGTGTATTCTAATATGTAATAGAGTAAACTACTTTCATATATTGCGTTGTCAAAACCTATTGAGTGATATTGACAGAAGGAAATAAAACTCTGTTATGAGAAAAAAATGATATTTTTTGTATGTGCCTAATATTCAGGGTGTTTTTTTAGGGTGTCAAGCCAGTGCGAGCTGATAGAGGAGTACCATACCCATCAATTTAACCCCCATGTATGTTGTACGATTTTTCGTAGTTTTCGAGTTGGAATTTTAATTCTAATCGTACAACATACATTGACGTTAAATTGATAGGTATGGTAATTTCAATTCAATTCACTCATTTATTTGCATCACAAATTAATACAATTAATACATGTTCACTGCAGACCTAGATGATTATAAGTTCTTAAATATCAAGTCTAAACTACAGTCATTAGTAAGTGACAGTGATGCAAATAGGCAGAAGCTCACCAGTGTTTTTGCTTTCATAGACAAAATGCTGATTTTCAGCAACTACCCGTAGGAAGCGCGAGGATGTAGGTACGCTACAAAGCTGGCATTGTACTGCCCTAGTCCCGCATAGAAATACGATCATTATGTTATTCATTATTAATGTAAATAGCCTGTTAATAAATTCTGTAAATAATAATAAATAAATATATGTAAATAATTATTAAAAAAAAAAACAAAATTGTGTAGACAATAATAAATAAATGTGTGTTATTAATAATATGAACTATAAATTTTTATTAAAATGTCAAAAAGATTGTACTCGGTCGGTACTCCTCTATCAGCTCGCACTGGCTTGACACCCTAAAAGAAACTCCCTGTATATCGTTTTCTTTAAATTATCTATAATTTACCTACTACCCAGTTAGCTCCTGCTAGAAACGTACTGTGCTAAGTATATGAAGTGAAATGAAAAAACCTTTATTGGCCATCTTACACAATAAAAAAAACCTATAAATAAAATAATTATGCTCTTATGCTCTGTACGCCTATTTGCTAACTGCTTTTGACAGATTGAAGTGATAATCTCCGAGCTATTTAGTGATCTACTACTTCTTTATTATAACGCCACTTAGATCTCCTGAAAACCATCCATGGATATGAAATTTTCTTTTTAGTTTTTTTTATATACCTAATGGTTTATTTATCTTAAAAGTTACAAATTGCTCTTTTAAACTGATTAGAGGAATTAAATCTGAAATATAACTCACTTTTAAGAGGTTCATTGACGGCTGTACTAGTATTAAATGTGTCACAACCGTCAGCGACTCCTTCCATGATATAAATTTGTCATGGGGATGCACACAATTAGCATAATTGAAACCATCTAAAGTACCTAACTAACCAAAAGTAAGCAAACATTTAAAATTTTAAATAATTCCATATTTGTGTTTGTGTGTTTTTTTTATTGTTTTATACCTAACGTGTCTTTACATGTGTGTGTATGTGTGTGTGTGTGTGTGTGTGTGTGTGTGTATGTGTGTGTTTGTTACACACTGTAAATGCTAAAAGTTAGCAAATAAGTCGACTGCACTAATGAATGTTGACAGAATGTTAAAGATGAGGCAAATAAATAGATACTTTAATAGTTTTTGTATGTAAAATTGCCACTGCGCAGGCTCGTTTGCCTATGGCCGTTACTTTAAGAAGTTTGCCGAAGGGTGTTTAATTTTTAAAAGAACCATTGAATTTATGTGTAAAGTAAGACTGTTCTAAATATGTTTATTGTAGAGCTTACATAAATACCAGAATTTCCAAATTATGCTATGCTGTAACATTGGAGGAAAAGTGGTAAAACGTAAACAAGCCAACATACAAGAATTACAAGCTCGATGGCGCAAGTGGTAAGCGCGATTGGCTGCGATCGTTGAAGTTAAGAAACTTTCGCAGTGGTCGGTCATCGGATGGGTAACCAAAAATTTACTATCTCGAACTCCTCCGTACTTAGTAAGGCACGTTAAGCCGTTGGTCCCGGCATCTGCAGTCGTTGGCAGCCACCAACCCGCACTGGGCCCGCGTGGTGGGTCACGGCCCAATCTCCCTATTCCATCCATAGGAAAAGCTGTGCCCCAGCAGTGGGGATATTAATGGGCTGATGATGATGACATAAAATACTCACCATCAGAGCTCCACGAAAGATCCAGTACGCTGTCAGTGAATAGATCGTGGACCACCACCAGTGGTCGCTTCAGTGACGTCAGCCAAATGGACAAGGCTCGATCCCGGGACCCCACCGCTGCGCAACAACACTTCTTGCCTTCCTTCACGAAGATGTTGTTGTTGAAACGCTAAACGGGAAGATCAAGAATAACATTTGCAAATAAAAAAAACGAGTGTGCTTATGACCACACGACTGAAGTGAAATTTCTTTAGCTCCGACTGTATGTATATATATATATATATATATATGTGTGTGCGTGCGTGTGTACAATATATACATGTATGTACATATACATATTTCATTTACTAGCTATAAGGGAAAGAGAGAAAGAAAATGTGCGCACGCACTGCTTTCTCTTGCGTATATCCTCCTCTCAACTCCCGTTCGCCTCGCCCTTACACACTTTTCGTAACGCGTAACGCATTCGCCAGCTTACCCCCCCCCCCCCTAGTCAAGCGTGCGTAAACAAGTTTCACTTCACAGAAGTCATAACTTTAACTAATCTAAACGGCGCCGCCGGTTAGAGTGAGAGAGGAGGATCCTGCCTACCGCTGCCGTATGCGCGAGAGGACAGACTAGCGCCATAACGCGTTACGTAACGAAGCGGTTTAGCCTCTCATAAGAAGATTTTTCACTTCAAAAAGTAAACGTAAGTGTTGTTCAACACTCGATTGGAACGAAGTTAAAAACAAACCTAAGATGTGCCGTCATCGTAACTTTATTGTTAATTAATTTATATTTAATATAAGGTTCGACGGTCGATATGGTAACACAGAACAGTTAATACAAGACTGTTATCTGCGCCTTATTTATAAAATCAATTTGCGGGTATGCTTGTAAGGCCGCTGTCAACGCCTAACGGGAATCGGGAATCGAAGAGGCAACATTTTAGCTATTAACGGGATTGTTACCATGTTCCTTGTTTTTTGGCACTGTTGCAAGCGCCGTGATCACGGAGTAACGCCAAAAAACAAGGTACATGGTAACAATCCCGTTAATAGCTAAAATGTTAGTGACCATGAAAGTTTAAAACAATATGTCGATGAGGCAACGTACGGGAGTAATTGCGAAATCTCTATTGAACCGGCTGCACGTATCTCTAGTTTCTGTCGACTACGTGACGTAACGTGTGCTTGTGAAAACTAAGGTGGAAGATCGGCGAGTGCAGCAGCTGCGCAAGGGACGGACGGACGTGCGTGCATTGTACTGTTGTTGTACTAAAATCAAGCTGTGAAACTTGGTGGTCTACCCGTTTTCATAAAAATTGGTAAAGCCGTTACAGAGGAGTTAGATAAAAAACACTGTGACATGAGATTTTTATAAATTAGATTTACTTATTAGGGGCCGTTCAAGTATTACGTAAGCACTATAGGGGGGCTCGATATTGAGGAGCTCGATGGCCCAGGTGGTTAGCGCATTCGGCTGCGATCGTTGTAGTTAAGCAACTTTCGCAGTGGTCGGTCATTGGATGGGTGACCAAAAAATTTCTATCTCGAGTTCCTCCGTGTTTCGGAAGGCACGTTAAGGCGTTGGTCCCGGTTGCATCTGCAGTCGTTAGCACCCGCCAATCCGCACTGGGCCCGCGTGGTGGGTCATGGGCCAATCTCCCTATTCCATCCATAGGGAAGGCCTGTGCCCCAGCAGTGGGGACATTAAGAGGATGATGATAATGATGATAGGGGGCAGGGGGGTCTTTGCGTTGCTTATTTTTGATGACATGAGGGGTGGGGGGTCGAGATAGTGATTACGTCAGCATCATGGATTCGGGTGTCATGGACTGAAGACTGTATACATATACCAACAATTCGAAAGAAGTTGGTTTTGTTCGTAATAGTACCTTAGTCAATGTTGAATACTGTGTCAATAAATCAATAAAAAAAACAGATTACATTAAAGGAAAAATGCATGTAGGTACCAATGTACGTAAGCACGTGAGGAAGGGGAGGGGGGGGGGGGTAAGAGATTTGCTTACTTTTGCTGACAAGGGGGAGGAGGGGGTAAATAATTGTAATAAATCTGCTTAGGTTGGAAGTATCTTTCCTTGCAGCCTTGTATTTCTTCCATTATAGTGGGAATATTTAGGTGCTAGATACGTCGATATAACTAACAGACTCAGAAGACGTAATGTTATTTAGCTGGGAAGCTGAGGCACTGGCCTCTGCTCTCTGAAAGTCATTCCGCGTGCAACAAAATTGATAAAAGTCCTTGAGGAGGAGGAGGTAATACTTGAACGGCCCCTTATCAATAGGCTGACGATGATGATACTCACAGCACAGGTAACTGCTTTCCTATGCCCCACGAAGTCTTTATCGCATCGCCACCCGTCTCGCTCCACCACCTGGGCGGTAGGCCCGCCTCCGTTCATAGCGTGAGCTGACAACACGTACTGACCGTCCGGGGACCAAGACAGACGTAACACGTGAGTTGTGCCTGATCAAACATAATAAATAAATTATACAGTCAAGCACAGAATGTCCTCCTTCTTTGAAGTTGGTTAAAAAATATAAATAAAACTAGTTTTAACGGGTTAATGCAAGAAATTTATTTATTTATTGACGTTTTAAATTAGCTAATAAATTCATACAGAGACAATAAAGTTTTAAAAATCTTCCAATGAAAGATCCAAACGCTCAATAAAAGGTCTTTCGAAGGTAGCTCGACAAAGTAAATAAAAAATCATTATTCTGACGATGCAGACCTGAAAAGGCTGCGAAACGTCAATAAATAAATAAATTTCATGCATTAACCCGTTAAAACTAGGACCATTGTCCCCTAAACAAACACCTATACATATATATATATATACAATAGGAGTAACAGACAGCCCCCTATGCAGAGGATGCATGGAGGCAGAGAAACGCCACAGCATGTCATCATGGAATGCAGGAGTGTGGCCGACCAACGGGCACGACTTCTCCAGTCGCCAGAATCGTTTCCGGAAGCTTGCAGCAGTCTACCAAGGCTGCTTTCCTTCTGGACCGATATAGGCTGGCTGGAGTAAACGGGAATGTTTTTGAGACATGCACAATGGTCCAATAATTAGGACTAAGTGCGGAAACCGCCCTCAAAAACTAAGTATCTGCATACCGTTAGGAGGACAAGTTGTTTCTTACATTAAAAGTAATTTTATATTTCATTTACCTCCACATTCTTCAAATGGGTCAGTGATGACAGTTTCTTGTGCCCAGTCAGTTGTCTTCCATACTCTTAATGATTTGTCGTCAGATTGTGATGCCAGATATTTTCCAACCTATAAATTTTATAAGCCGATCAATAAATAAAACATTGATTAATAAAAAAAATGTATTAACAAAATATATAGCAGAATAATATATTTACCGGATCCCAAGCTACTCCTTTTACTAATCCTGTGTGTCCATTCAATACGCATACCATTTCTGGAAACTTCTCTGCATTCCAAATGATTATGGTGTTGTCTACACTGCAACTCGCCAACCATTTGTCCATGGGTGACCAGGCCAAATCTAACACATCACCTGAAATAAGAATAAATCATGAGATAAAAAAATGTGTGGAAATTTAAATTTATTACTTACATAATATAAATAGACAGTTTTGTGTTATGTTATGAACAATCTTTTAACATAGTCACATTAATTTCAGAATAGCATCATCCGAGTAGTTTGGATATCGTTATTAGCTCAGGACATGTCTAAAGTTTAAAAAAACTACATGCCAGAGAGCAATAGAAAGAAGTATGCTAAAATTAAGAAGAATAGACAAAATAAGGTTTACAGACATAAGGAGCAAAACTGGACTAACAGATGCTCTGGAACAGGCCCTTAAACTTAAATGGAAATGGGTGGGTCATCAGTCAAGGTATATTGACAAAAGGTGGACCCTCAAGTGCACTGGATGGACCGGACCAAAAGGCAAAAGGAAAGAAGGCAGACCCAGAAAACGATGGTCCGACGATATTGTGTCTGTGGCAGGCAGACTGGCTGAAAGCAGGGAAAGATAGAGAAAAGTGGAAAGCAATGGAGGAGGTGGGATCCATGTCTGAAACTATACTAACAAATACTAAAAACCAACATATTATTTAGGTTTACTAACAAACTAACATAAATAAAATGTAAAAGTAACTAATAGATATGGAATAAAAACCTTTTCTTTTTTATGTCTAAAGTTTAAAATGTGATGTTATGCCAATGTGGAGCTCTCTGATAATGCTAACTAAAGTAAGTTTTGGTAATTTCTTGAAGTGCCAATAATTTATGGTAAACTGTTAATTGGTTAAGACAAAGCATAACTCATCTACTGGACATCAATAGCAGCTTATAGCTCATTTAATTAAATACTATGAATAATTATCAATTTGCATAATGTTGTGAGTTAATTACAAACCTGCATGGCCCCTCAAAGTAGACAGGCACCTCCAAGTCTCTGCTTTGTGCTTCCCAGCACCGGTTGCTGCTACACTGAGCCCCCACACCATAACCAATCGGTCGTCTCCTCCAGAGGCCAGATATTTACCAGCGTTACTCCATCGGACACAGTTCACACATGCTAAAACATCAAATTAAACATTTTTATTGTAAAATATGAATTTAATTATGACTAGCAAATATAAAAAAAATAAACTTAGGGCGGGGGATGGTCAAACAAGAAACTCAAATTGAGTGTCCTACTTGCTTGATGATCTCCTACTCCCAGTATCTGTCCGATACTGGGTTTGGCGAACGGGTTAGGGAGTAGCGCAAGTCGCGAAGATCCCCTAATCAAGGCCAGTGGACTATCCTTCACGAGGTTGCCGCCCGTTTTTGGCCAATTACCATCTGTAATTGGTATAACAGAAACCTCTGGCCATATCACAAATCCCTCATAGCCGAACCGTGGCGGCGCATAACCACACCCAGGCTCACATGGCCTAGGGGGCAGGAGTCGTGTGCGTTCAAATTCAAATTCAAACTCATTTATTCAGTCTAGGCTGTTACAAGCTCTTGTGAAAGTCAAACGCTACGCCATCGGTTCGTAAATCTACGGCGGGAGACCTTGTACTGAGAAGAACCGGCAAGAAACTCAGCAAGGGCTATTTTTTTCTCCCTGCTTTGTTTCACACAGTGTCGTCAATTGAAAGATGACATCAAAAATTGAATACATGTGTTGATGTCAACTTCCATCACATTAATATTATTAATTAACAAAAGTTAAGTATAACTAGGTACTATTTTTAAATTTAGAAGTGGCGATTAAACAATTTTCAACCAAATTAGCAAAGTAAAAAGACAGTCTATTATGTTAAGCCCAAGGTGACTTATCATTTATGAAATCTTTTACAGTATAGTAACCTTTCTTAAGGAGACATGTTTTTATACACACTTTAAACTTATTAAAAGGTAAATTAATTATTTCTTTTGGTATTTTATTATAGTAACATATACCTTGACCCACAAATGAACCAAGAACCTTTTGGAGTCTCAATGGTGGCAATTTGAGTTTATCTTTATTTCTGGTATTGAAATTATGTACATCATCGCGCCTCGTATATAAATTTATGTTCTGACGCACAAACAATAAACAATTGTAAATGTATTGAGAGGCAACAGTCATTATACCTATTTCTTTAAATTTATCCCTAAGAGAAGTTCGAGATCCCAAGCGGTAAATAGCTCTTATAGCTCGTTTTTGAAGAATAAAAACTGTTTCAATGTCTGCGGCCGTGCCCCATAATAGAATGCCATACGACATAATGCTGTGAAAGTAGCTGAAGTATATTGTCCTAGCAGTGTCGACATCTGTAAGCCGTCTTATTTTATAAATTGCATAAGCAGCAGAACTTAGTTTACCGGCTAGTGTTGTAATGTGAGGGTTCCATTGAAGTTTGTGGTCTAGTGTTACGCCTAAGAAAACGGTTGTATCGACTAAAATTAGTTTTTCACCATTTAGAATTATATCCCCCATTTCAACATGCTTTACATTCGGCAAAGTAAATTTCACACATTTAGTTTTGCTCGCATTCAGTTTAAGATTATTAGAAGAGAACCAGTGAAGTACCTTGGAAAGTGCATTGTTTACATCGTCATAATTTGTTTTACACCTGTCAACGTTAAAAATTAGCGAGGTGTCATCTGCAAACAAAACAATTTCACAAACATTTTCTACAAAGAAAGGTAAATCATTAATGTAAATTAAAAAAAGAAATGGACCTAAAATTGAACCCTGAGGAACGCCTATTTTCACATGAGATCCGGCTGATTTTGTACCGTTAATATCAACTATTTGTGTCCTTTCTGTTAAATATGATTGCACTAATTTTTGTGCGGAATCTTTTATGCCGTAATGATTTAATTTCCGTAACAAAGTTTGATGATTAACGCAATCAAACGCTTTAGATAAATCGCAGAAAACCCCAAGAGCATTCTGCGACTTTTCCCAAGCATTAAATATATATTTTAGCATAGTGGCCCCAGCATCAGTCGTGGAACGGTTTTTAGTGAAACTGTACTGCGCTCTGTGTAAAAGTTTATTAATGTTAAAATGAGTCAACAATTGTTCTAACATTATTTTTTCAAAGATTTTACTCAATGCTGGTAATATAGATATTGGCCTATAGTTGCTAGGATCTTTACAATTTCCAGACTTAAATAAAGGTATGATTTTACTGAATTTCATAAGATCAGGGAATACTCCCTGATCTATACATGAATTAAAAATATCAGCTAGGTAAGGGGCTATAGAATGTATAATATTATTTATGACTTTGACAGATATACCCCATAAATCAGATGCATTTTTCATTTTTAATGAATGGAAAACTTTAATTATTTTAAAAGAACTAACGTGCTTGATATTAAATAATAAACCACACGGAGGTACATATTTTTGTAACAGAGCTGTAGCAGTATCAGACGATGAGTCCAAGTTGGAAGTAGTTTCTAATGGTATATTCATAAAAAAATTATCGAAAATATCTGCGACTTCATTTTTCGATTTTACGAGATTATTATTGATTTTAAGAACCATGCTATTTTCACGAGGCTTACACTTGCCACTTTCGCGCTTAATGATATCCCAAGTGGTCTTTATTCTATTACTAGATTTTTTAATTTTATCCCTAATAAAATTGGACTTTGCAGTATTACATATGCTTTTAAACAATTTGGAATATTTTCTAACATAGTTAATAAACTGAGGATCCTGGTTATATTCTTTGATTCTATAAAGCTCATACAGCCTTGTTCTACTCTTATATATACCACTTGTCGCCCAGTCACAGAACTGCAACTTCTGTGTACATTTAATGGTTTTCATTCTGAACGTATTTTGAAATTCATTATTTATTAAATTAAAAAGATTTTTGTACATAATATCCGGATCATCATGCGTCCAAGGCATTAAAGGAAGTTTATCGCTAATGTTATTTTTAAAATTATTAACGCGCTCATTTGTTATAGGTCTACACTCTATTATGTTCGGCTCAGTACTGACATTGAAACTATATGTTGTCTTTAAACCGAGATGATCGGAAGTAATATCACTAAAGACTGACCCCTCAATTGCATCCAATTCAGAAAAAAAGTTGTCTAAACAAGTGGCTGAGTGAGATGTTACTCTGGTTGGTTCAGTAAACTGGAAATTTAAATTAAAACATTTAAACAAAGTAATTAACCGAAGACTCAAAGAGCTATTTTCAAGTAGATTGACATTAAAATCACCACATACTATTACAGATTTATTTTTTAATTTATTGAGAGAGTCCTCCATGACTGATTCAAATGTATCAAAGTTTCCTGAGGGGGGCCGGTATACACGTAACGTTATTTGGCATTTCCCGCTAAAGCCCCAAAACCAGAAATGAGTGCTAAGAAAGAGAAAACAGTACCCCAGGAGGGTATCGCGATTCGAGAGGAATCCCTGACCAAGCCTAGCTTGGTGTGTCCCACGTATTCTGGGGTGGTCAACCAGCGCTCAGGGAGGGAAGACTGCTAATGCGGCGGCCACCCACAAACACTCACACAAAGGCTCGCAGGGCCAAACAGAACGCAGTCGCCCCAAACGGCGCGCGAGAAGGGAAGCCCTGCAGCCCAAAACTAAACAAGACAGCACACGGTCGGTCACCGCAGCAGTGGAAACACAGCGCGAGCCTGTAGAAATACAGAGGGCCGACAAAACAAAAGCCATACATAAACAACCACGACGGAGACCGAAACCGAGGGGTGATCGTGGTCGGCGGATCGTTGCGCAGGCTCCCACTGCTCCTGAAAAGGAGCTGCCTGGGGTTGCGTGTGTTTTGCTCGTTAAAGTATAATTTAATTTTCATCGACCCGCGCATAAAAAAAAAACATCGTCTGTTTTAGTATTTATAGTACTTTTCATAGTATGCATAAACAGAAGAAATAAAATGAGTACGAAAGTTCAACGGTCACCAAATAAGCCACGCTCAGTTCAGACCCTTACTGGTTCGCTCACGGATCTGACCGGCTGCGAATCCGCAGCACCAGACGCCATGATAAAAAGCGTAAAAGGAAGGAACCTGATTCCAATCAGGTTCAGAATGGAGACTTCAACGAGTTCAAGAAGGAAATTATGTCCTTCCTACACGACCTTCGAAAATAAAACGATGAACTTCTGCATAACGTAAGGACAGAAATCTCCGAGATGAAGTCACAGGTAACTTCAATTATTAACAATTTATCACAGCAACATAGCGAATTCAAGCTAGCGGAGTTGACCAAATCCATGGATTTTCACACAAAGTCATTTGATGATATACGTCGAAGGTTCTATCCAGGGACGTTGCGTATCTTAAGAATATGGATCAAGACATTGAAGCATGCAGACTTCGTTTGTCACAGATAGAACGAGACCTTAATATCCAGCAACAAAGAGAGCGCTTGCATAACCTAGAAATAGTGGGATTCATGGAGAATAAAAATGAGAACCTTACTGAGTGCTTTTTATCAATGTGCAAAGCTTTGGATGCTCCAGTTGTTAAGGAATATATTTTAAACATTCACCGTGTACCTTCGAAAATTTCCGACAAAAGGTATCCTAAAAATATTATCGTAAAAATGAGGAATCAATTAAGGAAAGATTTTATCATATCGGCAGTCCGCAGAAAGAAAGGTCTTACATCTGATGACCTTGGTTTAACTACCTCCGATCCTTGGCGTATTTATATCAATGAGCATTTAACGCCATTTTACAAGATGCTGCATAAGAAGACTCGGGAAGCTGCTGCTGGTGCTAACTATCAGCATATCTGGGTACGCAATAGAAAAATATTCGTTCGAAAAAACGATACTACGCCTGTACTCAATATAATGGATCTTATGGACGTGGAGAAGTTGAAACGATCGGTTTAACTGTATTTATCATCTTATATATAAAATTCTCGTGTCGCGGTGTTTGTGGTTAAACTCCTCCGAAACGGCTTTCCCGATTCTCATGAAATTTTGTGTGCATATTGGGTAGGTCTGAGAATCGGACATCTTTTTTTCATCCCCCTAAATGTTAAGGGTAATCCACCCCTATTTTTTTTTTTAATTTTTTTATGATACATTATA